CGCACCATCTGATGATTATAATCATGTGGTACGTTTCTAAAATAGGACAATAATGATTGAGTCACAATATCGCCTATGGTCTTTTCCTGTTCAATAATCTCGAAAATCATAGACGATTTCGCCGATTCGTAAAGCAGCTTCTCCCATTTGTCACCAGCAAGATGCGTTTCCTGTAATAGAAAATATTCACGATTCTATAATTATTATTTAAAAAAAACTGATATGTTATATCACACACAATTACATGGTTACTTTTTTCTATTTAAACAGTAGTTTTCTCGCTGTCACTGTGCCTTTTATTCATTATGCATTTTCTTCATTTTTTATATATAATATGAATTTATTTTTTATAGTTTGTTCATTTTCTCAATAAAATTATTATTAGTATTATTATTCATACCACTATCGATTTCGTCTCCTTGTACGCAGCTATCACATTTGTAGCTTTAAAGAGAGTCAGATACAATAGTCCTTCGTTTGGTTTCGGGAATATGCTATATCCATATGAAAGTCCTTGTCCTCGGATTAACCTCCACATGGGTCCCTGGAATCATGGATTTTGAAAATAACTGCGATTTGACTGATTTTTCAATCGGCAACTGTCATGCGCTCACCTCCGTTTGTGTCAAATATTGCAAACAAACGGCCAAAGCTGGCAGATCAGGACTCTGATAGTCGCTTATGCCTGGACAAGTCTGGCAGAAGAATGAAGACTCTATACATCCCAATCCCGTGACACAGCCATTAAGAATAATATCCTCTGCAGGATTCATCAGTGACCAGTCAGCAGTAACATTAAGCCTAAAATTTATTATTTAGATATTAATATATTACATATTTTCATAATACTTATTTTTATCTCAGATCGGAATTGCACCAATATAAATCAATAGAGCTTGAAAAACTTTAGAGTTGTTTAAATTGAATAAGCTATGGTTTTATATTGGAAGATGGGCTATTTTAAAAGTATGTTTTAACTTTACTATTGTTTGATGGAGAAGAGAAAGGTCTTTTTATATTTGTTACAATTCAAAGCTATAACAGATTCTAAAAGATATTACTGATTAAGAAGCTACTTTTCCTCTTTCTAAATTATTATCTTGCCTGTAATATAATAAAAAAATTGAATTAATTAGAAATAGCATCCAAACATTGCCGCAACAGAGCAATTCAAATGATATGGGCAAGTTATATTTACTTTGTCTTCTCTGATGTTGCCATATCAGAAAAGAATTTATTCCATGGGGCGTAGATATCTGGAACTTGCACTGTTAATTTATCTACATTAACAGCTATATACAAAATCATATTTTTCAATGATGTCACAGTTTTTCTGACCGATTCGATTTCCGCTATAACTTCCTTTTGGCCTAAGTCATCATTCAAACGTTCTATGATATCAGTAAGAAATTTTTGTTGTCGCAACATGCTGGACGTGAAAGGATTGCTATCTAAAAATTAAAAGAACAAAAAAAATACATATTACAAATCTCTTACATTTTGTTATATTATCATATGTGTGTGTGTGTGTGTGTGTGCGTGCGCATCTTTTTACAATTATTGATTTAAAAAATGAAAATTTACCTTTGTTGTATATTAATCCTTTCATTAAATCACCCACTACTTTGTGTCCTCTTCTCTTTAGTTGCGCCACATCATTCACCATTTTTGCTGCTATTACTTTCAATCTATCAACTGTTAATTCAGTGTCATACAAAAGCTCTTTAATCCACTGTACACCTTTCTCATATTTTTCTAATTCAAGCTATATAAAAAGATGTGTGAAAATTATTATTTATTTTTAATCAGAATCACTCTTTCATAAAAGAAGAAAATGTAAAAATTTATACATTACTTGAAGCATCAAGTAAATGCTATGACTGTAGGATCCACATGAGAATCTTGTGGAATTATTAAAGCCAATTTGCGTAGCAGTTCCTATAGTATCAGCTTCCAATATGGTTACTACTTCTTCATAAGGAATCAATTGGCCATCCCTTCTCACTGGAGATTCCATGATAACCTCTAGCAATAGTGGAATATATCTTCTATATTCTCTACTAACAGAGGCGGTGTCCATGATGACAAATAGCTAAATTTAGAAATAAGAACAATGATTAATATATATCATATTCAGTAATTAATGCGTAGCTATTAAATATGATTTTACAATGGTTTTACAAAGCAAAAAAAAAGATATTTTACATATTTCCATAAATTATATTTTAATGAAGTGCCACAATAAAAAGAAAACAATACTCACATAAACAAAGTTTGTGTTAACATGATCTAAATAAGTAAAAAATGGCAATTTAGTGACATCGAATCTAGGATGCTGTTCCGATGTTTCCATGGTGTAACTTTTAATATGATGGAAGTTAATGGAATCTGTGCTAGGTATAGGCACATTTGCTAATACTTCATCAGGTACAGGTTTCTTAAAAAGAAACAACAATAGCAAGATTAAAGACTACCACAGATATAAAATACAAATATTTTTGATATTTATATAATGATATATTTAAACACATACTTCATTTTCCTTGATGGCTTGCTGAAGCTCTATTTCTTTTTGCTCTAAACCATCTGTGCCCAATTTCTCTATTTGTTTGGCTATTCGTTTCTCCTCTTCTTGAGTTAACATGCGTTGCTTCTCTATGCTAGGTATGCCTTTTACAACAATCATTGGTGCGAGAATAAAATATTTCTTAAGAAGATTTATCCAATATGATTCAGGCTCATTTTTTAATTTCTTCAAATCACATATAGTGTTTAATCTCTGATCAAGCTATTAAAAAAAATAAAACCAACTGTAATATATTGAATAAAATATAACTTATGTGAATAAATGTAATAACATAACATACATCTTCGTTTGTGTTTCCATACAGTATGTGTCCAAAGAGCATAGCTGCGATTGTATCATGCGGATCGTTTTCCAAGGCACTTAAAGTTTCAAGAATATTTCTATGAATCACAGTTTTCATTCTTCTCATGTTTATGTTGCCAACACAGCATATGTCATCCAGTGCTTTTAACAAAGCATCCTTGAGCAAGGGAATTTTATTTTTCGGTACATTTTCAAACATGAAGCTCAAGGCTGAAGTCGAAAATTCATATGGTTCGTAATCCACATTGCTGGCATAAGGATCATCTTTCTCAACAAATTCTTTTTGCAGTGGACTGACGGATGTGTCAGTAAGATATTTCAAAAGTAAACAACAACCAAGATAATCGTACACTTCATAAACCGTAGACGGTCCTCGCCAAGCAACATAGACCATTCCATTGTCTTCATCGTCACATGGATAACAGACATCTAGATCCACACTGTTTGTAAGTGGGTCAACTGAAGTTTGCCAAGGCCTCTTAAATGTACCTTTTTTTCCCTAC